TTAAACATGAGAGACAACTTCTCTGGATATGTTGAGGCAAAAACTCTGAAGAGAAAGACGGTCGAGCAAGTGGCAGACTGGGTAGAAGAAGTCTATCTCAAGTATCCTTTTATTAGAGAATTTGTCTCAGATAGAGGATCAAAATTCAAAAATCAGGTTGTAGGAAGAATTACACTCAGATTGGGAGTCGGAATTCGGTATGTGACTACTTACCATCCTTAAGCGAATGCACCTGTTGAAAGAGTCGTAAAACTCTGAAAGATTCATTGGCCAAGTGGTGAGAAGGGAATCTCAGCAACTGACCAAAGGTGTTAAGAGTTGCTGTATATGCTGATAATATCACAGTCAAAAGAACTACTGGTTATGCACCTTTTACTCTGTGGTACGACCGATATGCTACATTGTCTATTGAGAGTATTGTCAAGACATGGTCAAGTCAAGAAAGTGACAGGGATTATTTTATTTCAGAACTCCTTCAGATCAGAATGAGGCAGATATCTGAAGTTGATCAGGTAGTGATGAATGCAGCAGAGCGAATGGCATCCAACAGGCTATCAAATCAAGAAAGATGGAACAAGAAAAGGTATATAAGAAAAGAGAAATTGAAGATTGGAGATGTTGTTCTTCTGTTTGACAGTTCTTTTGAGACACAATGGACTAAAAGATTGGAGTCCAGATGGCTTGGTCCTTACAGAATCACAGGAGAGGCAGAAGGCAAGGTTTATGATATCTCATAAATGGATGGATCTAGGGTTCATGATATGGTATCAGGTTCAAGACTTCGTAAGTTCATCTTCAAAGACCCTGACTTGATCCCCACAGTGACTTCAAAGAGAGGAAAGAGAAGTCAACCATCCACGTAAGAGAACGGTCATAGAGGACTGAGAAAGAGTACAGTAAGACATTGAGACAATGAGGCTCAGTTATCAGCAGACAAAAATCAATCTTGCATAGTCAATTCGGTATTTCAGTTTCAGTATTTCAGTTTCAGTACTTCAGTTTCAGCATCTCAGTTTCAATATACCAGTTTTCAGCAAGTCATTTCATTATCTATTTCAACAATAATTAAGTTAATGAGACTATATCTTTGATGCAGCGCTGCAGTCATTCCATGAGTGTCAAGTCCTGAGAGTGGGGAGTAACTGTGAGTTCAGTTTTGGGAGCATTAACACGGTGTCAAAATCTGAGAAACTCATGGATGTGGCACATCAAATGATATAAGCAGTATTATTCTTATCACAAAGAGAAAGCATGATGGGCATAAAGAAGTTCAGTCCTGTCTGATTGAAAGTTATCAGCAGAAGGATTTCGTGTCTCTAACTAAGTTGTCCATCCAAGAGATTCAGACGAAGGCAGGCATAAAGAAGTTCAACTTTACTTGACTGAGAAAGGTCAGTAGAGGAACTTTGTGCTACTTGGCAAAGTGTCTGTCTTCACTCAGATGAAGGAAGGGAGCTCTCTGAGATCAGTGTTTCAATATTTCCTTGAGACTGACGGGACGTCTCTTGGAAAAAGAAATCCCAGTTGAGGGAAGGGACCTCTCTGGGGCTAGCACTAAGTTTTTGCTTGAGGCTGAAGGGAGGTCTCTTGCGAATTCTTAGTGTTGGCTAGCATGTTATTGTTCAGTGCCTCTTGAGACTGGAGGGATGTCTCTTGAGAAATATTTGTCCTGTTATGGGGGCATGGACAGTCTGCTTGTGGGGAATTGTATGCTTGTCTGATTGTCTGTGCTTGCTGTTATCTTCACTAACCTCAGATGTTGTTGATTGTCGGGGTCAGCCAGAGCCTTATCGCAGTAGGTTGCAATCTGGTGGGGTCAGCAGGTCCCCGACGCAAGTGTCAAATTTCGTAGTCTGACTGAGGCTAAGGCTCCGGGGGCCTGACCCGTGAGGTTGGAAGGGGTCAGCTGGAACCCTACTGCAGTAAGAGGATGCAATCCAGTAAGGTTAGCCAGAGCCTTGAGTTGTAGTTAGACCGGGTCCTACACTCGAAAATCTGAGCGGGGTAACCAAAACCCCAGGCTAGACGCTGGTGGGTGAGCCGGTCCCCGATCGCCGAGGTCAAATCCGGATTGTGGACAGTATGACCGACGGGACGTCTACTGTCATAGGGTGACCAGACCCGCTATAGTCTGGGTGTCCTGGCGAGAGTGCCAAAGGGCTGCCATACTCGAGTAGTGGGTATGGTGGGTCCTGACCTGGAGGCAGGTCAAAGGGGCTGTCAAGACAAATGGTCTGACTAGTCCTGGCCTGAGGTGAGCCGAATGAGGGTTGTCAGACGTCTGTCACCCCTAGCCAGTGGGAGGCTAAAACCAAGGCGATCAACTGATTCTGGGTGTGAAGGACTGTTATGTAACATTTACTATTTTATTATTTTATTGTTTTATTATTTATTCGTGGGATTTTATTTTATTCTGCTGATTGCATAATTGCTGTTTATCAGGAGATCTGCATACTGGGGATGCAATTATTGTCTGTGGGATTCGCTAGTTTTGCAGGTATACAAAATACTTATCTGAAGTTCCCCAGACCAGGAAAAAGAAAAAAGGGTTTGGTATCCCTTCCTTTTCATTTGAGAAGTTGAGGAGACGCCTCACTCAGACCAGAGGAAGAAGACAGGGTTTGGTATCCCCATCAGGTGCTTGAGAAGCTGAGAAGACGTCTCGCTCAGGCCAGAGAACAGAAAAGAGGGTTTGGTATGCCCTATTTCCAGCATGGCAGACAGATTGAGTATCCTCGTTACTGGAAAAGCGTTCCTGGCATAGATGCCCGATCAAGAGCAAAGGTAACTTCCATACGAAACACCAGCAGTTGAACAAGTTAAGCATGCAGGCAAAATCCTTCGTAGAATTTTATTTGGTGGCCGACAAGCGGCCTGGTTCATGAGGAACCTGCATCCCTGGCCTTAAGGAAGCCAAACTCTTAGGCCTGGGACGCTGTGGAATGGACAGTGAACTGAAAATTTTATGGGCAGAAAATGGACTCAGAGAGCTGAGAAGAAATCATGTTTATATAAAACGTAAAAGACTTCATGAGCTCCAACTGGAAAAGAAAGAGAAGGAGAAAGATACTGAACAGGATACAGGTGGGGAAACAACACATGGGATAGGGGACGGTGGAGATGGCAATATAGCCTTACTCACTGCAGGGGTGGAAGGAGCTCTAGGGAGATAAGGGGGAGAAGAAGCACTGGGTGTACTATAGCGCGCATCAATTTTTTTTCGGAGTTATTCCATCCTGTCAGGGGATGGAGTTTTTTCGTATCACCCTGATGATGGATAACGCGAGTAGGGCCTCAGGTGCGCGTAGCCTCTAGGTTCTTCTTCCTCCTCCTCCTCTGAACTATAAGAGCGCTATGCTCTAACTAGCGGCTCCTCTTTAGCCTTTCCTGTCCTACCTCCTCTTCCTTCACCCTGTCCACGACGTGCCTCAGGCATGGTGATAAACGAGGATGGCAGCAAAGGAAGAAAACAGAAGAGCGAAAGCTCGGATACAATGAGAAAGAAAAAAGATGAACAATTAACAAAGGCAAGATGTGGTAATGGAATAGATCTAAAGACGAGAGTGTTGAACTTGTTGAACCGCAAAGAAACAGGGGAAAAAAGATGGTTGAGCAAGTCGCGCAGCGGCGCAGCGAACTAGGCAAAGGAGAAAGAGAAGAAAAGGAAGAGTGCTGCCACGAGAAAAGTTGACGATCAACACAGAGCCACTACGAAAAAATTGTTGTGACGCGCTGAGAATGAATGAGACAATCCTAAGTTGTATGTTGTATTATACTTGTCACAGGAAGTATTTTGACCCAGCGGGGACGTTGAGTGGGGGTTGGGTATAATGTCGCAGGGCACGGTGACCCGGCCCTCCTCCGTGTACCAGGACCCTGCCTGATATCGACCATCTGCCCCAGGTGTCGTGGCCTATGGGGGCCAATGGGTATGTTTCGGAAATAAGTTCCCTGGTACCCAAGTTGTACCTTGACGTGGACCGCCCCTGTTTGGTGCTTGCCTCAACAAAAAGGTGCGCCACAAGGCTTTCCATTGGTCCACGCAGGCTGGGCGCCCTGCTGTACAGCAGAGCACAACCAGCCTGTGGCCGTGGTAGCCGCCGGGTTCGCCCTGGGACGCAGAGTTGAAAAGACCGGTGCTGCCTTTTCTACTGCACGCCGAATTCCTTCTAACTAGGCTATGGGATAGGTGCGTGGGACAAGTCGCTATCAAGAAGGAAAGGCTAGATAAGAAGCAAAAGAAAGCAAAATGTGTGAGGGCGGAAAGAAAAGCGAAGTGCCTGAACTCTACTCAGGTCGTGGCCTTTGCTTTAATCTGGATTAATCCAACGACATCGGGTCACTGTACCGTTGAGTTTTTTTTCCTTTTATTATAGTTATTGCTATTATTATATTATCATTGAAATTATTTCACGGGAAGGTCAAACGATTCGAATTTTGCGCGCAGTTGTAGTCCGCGGCCCAGACTGATTTGGCCTGCCGCTCGCGTACCGCTGGTGGGGAGGCCTGCTCGAACGCTGTGCGGTGAAACCCCAAAAGAGGGGCGACCCTCGCCCGCATCGGCAGGAGGCTTATCACCCTCCGTGAAAGAGGGTCATAAGCCCCTTCCTTACCATCGGACACGGGTACCCGATGGAGATAGGCCGGGGGCTTCTTTTGAGGAGGAAAATTGCGCCGTTGGTGCTCCGTTATGAGACCATCGCCCTGGAATCGTAATCGCTTAAGCAACAAGAAGAAGTGATAGGGGCCAATAGTAGGGGGGCTATTCTGCTATCGTAAGTGCTGTCTTTTGCCTGAGTTTTCTTTCGTATAGAATTCAAAATTTTAATTATTCTTTTATTTTTAAAATGGTACTGCGAGCCCCCGTTTAGAACGCAGGTAGCTCGGTATGAGGCAGGTCTCTATAAAAGACAGCGGAGGTTTGCTGCCAGGGGGTGAGCAGTGTGCCTGTGAATTATCCCGCTACTTTAGTGTTATTGGTTTGAGGGCATGAGCGTGAAGCAGTGAGGGGTAGCCTGGGCCATCTGATGTGCACCCAGGGCTGGGTTTGTGGCTGTCTCTGAGTGGCTATGGCTTTGCACGGGTATAGACCCTGCTATTGGTACCACCAGATTCGGTGGAAGCCTATGTCCCGGGAGGGGCCCTGGATCACGGCTATACTCAACTATGACGGGGGAGACGAATTAAGATTGAGGATCAACGTAGAGGGAGGAAAAGAGGAGGAGATGCGGACTGATGGAAAGCTACAAGATGCTATCACGAAGACGAAAGATCGGGTGGAGAGGCTGTGCAGGAGGGACGGCGTGACAACGAAAATGCAGGTAACGGTCTCGTATCATGAGACCGAGACCTCGATGGACACAGCGGACTGGGAGCAGGCCCACCTGGAGCGGGACTCAGGTGGGGAGATCGAGATGAGCGAGGCGGAGGACCGAGAGACGGACCTCAGATCCTGGATCAGACCGGGCGAGATCCAGAGGCATCACCGGGCGGCAAAGCCGGTGGAAGAGGGACCTGAGGCCAACTCACGACAGCTGACGCCCAGAGGCCGTGGAGCGGGTGAGAAGCCGAGCAAGGGGAAAAGACAGGCCGGAGAGCACACGAGAGAGAGAGAGGGAACGGGACGGAACTGGAAAGAGAGAGGCAAGTGCAGTGGGACAGATACACTCTCGGGTACTCGTCTGACACGTGTCGCTACCTGGAAAGGGAAGGAGCAAAAAGGAGGTCAACAAAATGAGAACAGGGGAGAGAGAGCGGAATGTATATGTTTGGTGATGCTGACGTCAACTGGATGGCAGCGTGAGATCGGAGGGCACGCGTGGTCAGTCGAAGGAAGCTACTGCCGTGCTCACGTATGGCGTGCGCAACTACTGGTTGCCACGAAGAAGAAGGGGGTGCGCACGTATGACTGGGGTCAGTCAATATTCCAACGCGCTAATGATGCTAGCCCTATGCTGCATGATTGGGAGTGTTGTCGCGGGGCTAGGAGCCGTGAGATAATTTCTTCGTTCTCGCGGTCAGTATCATTTGAGAGGCGTGAAGGCGAGGTGTGAGCAAGTACAAGGCTAATGACGTCAACTCCATCCTTGCCTATGGAAGCTGATCAGTGAGAAGCAGTTACAGTTGCTGTCGTCGCCGATTGGGCAGAAAGAGGAGAGTGGGCGAGCCTCGTATGACCTGTATGTGAGGAGCATAACACGGTACCAGTCGTTGAAGCGATCCGAGGGAGATGGGCATTCCCCCTGGTCACTATTATCTTGCTCACTTTTGTTGACATCTCGAGATAGTACCCCAAGCACTGGTCGTCGCTCCACTTCTTGCCTCGTCTTAGTTAGCTTATATGCGCTACTACAAGGGCTTGTCATGATCGCCATGGTCTTTTTTTTCGAGAGAAGAGGAGAGCGAGTAAGGAAGAAAAATCGATGGGAGCGAAATTAAGGCTGAGATTTAGTGGAGCAGTCACGCCGAGGATGCGTGGGCACCAGTGAGAAAGGGAGAGTGGTTGGGCTGATGAGAAAGAACGGTATGGTGATGTGGTCACTGTTTTATTTTTTTGTTTTTGTTGGCAGCACGGGTTTTGACTTCTTGCATTCTTAGCCCTTACCCTTCAGACAAGACTTTTTGTTGGGACGTGATTAAACCCTATCGTTTCTTGTAAGGCTGCTGGTTATTGATGTCGCAACACATGAGCATGCATTTGAAGCTATTTTGTTCCGTTCTGTAGACGACCATCTGAGCATGTCAAGAACTGGCTGTTGTGGTGTCCACTTGTCAAGCCAGAGCCCTTCGTAGTCGCGCTGGTCCCTTAGGGCATCGACAAAGCAGGTTTTGATCCTCACTGGGTTGTTTCTTCCGGGATTATAATCGATCCCGATCTGATTGTAATCATGCGAGCATTCTTAGGGACGCGTGAGTCACCACTTGCCTTGTAGGCACGGACAGGTCAATCAGTGGACGGGTTATGAGGATAATGAACCGAATACGTAACACTGGCTGGATGTTTGGAATGACAATGATGAAACGAGACTGTGTTCAAACGAAGAAGGGAGCTTAGCTGCATATAAGCCTTACGATTGGTCCGCATGGAAGCCTCTCTGCTCTCCTTTATTTTGCCTTGTCATCCTTCCTCTCTCTCTCGTCGCTATGCTTGAAAATTCTCTCTTCTGAGTTGAATTTACTGGCTACAAACATTGCTCCTCTTCCGCTTGTTCTTGCTGATTTCATTTTTCAAAGAAAACAACTCTAAACAGTCGTGCACGAGCCCATGAGAGAGCGTTGAAACTATAAGCGCTTTCGGATGAGGCCCCAACTGTCTATGTGAGTGAGACAAGACCGTGTGAGCCTCAGCCTATTCTGAGACGAAAAAGGGGAGGGGTGACTTAATTTTGTCCTCTTGCCAGCTGGTGATGAGCAGGAGGAAGTCGGTTCTCAGAAGGGTCGCTTACTTTCTGGTCAGATACCTTCTAGACGGTGACTAAAAGATGAGATATTCTCCTTGAGCTATGTGATAAATGAATGAACAGAGAAGGGGGATTGAACGGGATCTCTCACGCTACCTAATCAGTGTAATTAGGTTGAGTTGAAATCTTCTATCTATAGTGTGATTGCACCATTGAGACAAAACGGCCTAACATGTCAGCCAAAATTGTCCTACTTTCCCTGTACACTTAATGCTGTAAAAAGGGGGGGGGACGACACTCGGGAGATGTCGCAAGGAGTGGGATTGAGTCTAGCCATCGAATGCTCATGATATATGTATGAAAGCAGGTTTTGCCCCAGAGGACCCTAGGCTGATTAAGGGCATTACGAATGAATAGGTGATCTCTAGGGCTCTTACGTGACTAATCACTGTAAGAAGGCAACGCCATGCAAACGGAGCAAACCTCCGACCCAGTGCCATTCAGTGGGTGGCTAATCTTCGCCGGGTGCTTTCAGTACTGATAACTATAGATAGTAATTATTATGTGACTCACGGTTGTCTGGTTAGTTCGGTAGCATGACCTGACGGATTTCCCACATTGAAGGGGGGTAACTTCTAGGAGTGGGAGGATCATATCTTATAAAAAAAATATTACATTTACGTCGGGTGCATGTAAGCCAGGCAGTGTCAGCAACCAAGGGTCTCCAGCAAACTGTGACGTTCTGAATCAACCCCATGAACGTGTTCAAACTTTAGAGGGAGATTTTTCATTGGTCGACGCAAGCCGTTTGAAAAAGACTCTTCCTATGTAAAGTTTTCAGTGATCGGGTCGAGCAGGACAACTTCCCTCATATGAATCTGAGTGCTCCTAACCCGTATCAAGTATATGAAACTTTGTTATCATGGATAAGCACAAGGTCCAGGAAAACACGAATTGATCGGGTACTGTAAAGCTCATGACCACTAAATCCAGCTCGACTTACAGGACTAGAGCCATCCTGCTAAATGATGTTCAATACTCAGACTGAGCAACTGGTCGCTCTCTAGGTGTGCTTGGGGCCAAGAGCCTCAGCCTGGCACGAGTAAGGTATAAACGAATCAATCATCTGGCGTATTGAGATGAACTCAAGCAGAGGGTTGGTGCCACTGTGGACAGATTTGTTAGACTTTGCCTTGGGTAGACATAGTGAGCTCTGAGAACAAACAACCACCAAACGAAATTGAGGAACTGTCATTTCAACTCGACCTCATTCTAGCAAAAGCGACCTCTGGAGTTCTATTTGACGGTACAAGTGAAGTAGTCACGATCTCAGACTCTGATTCTTTTGTCAGCCGAGTACGTCCCCGCCGGACCGTATTCCATTTTGTCTTGGTATTTAGAGTCCTTCCAGTAATTGCAGCTGGTTTCCTAGCTTAGGCTCGAACATACCAGACAAACAGAGTAAACGAAGGAGTCAATCATATAAAGTACGGCTTACTCCTCCTTTGGGATTAGTTGCAAATGTGATCATGAGGGACAGTGAAGTGATAGTGGTGAAGATCCGTTCAGACAGGGACAAAACGGAAGGATGGGACTGTGGAGCAGGCTAGGGCCAGGCTCGCATGAGCTTGGTAGTGCGTTGACCATTTTCTCTAAAAGTCGATCAGCACTTGAGCTAGCAAGCCTTTGCCAAGCTTACAACTTTTATTCTGTGCAGTGCAAAGGGAAACTTGTGATTCAATGCCTGATTCGTCAGTCCTCACTCAGACAAGTCTCGGACAAGCATTTGGCCTACACATAGGCGACATTCTGATAACCCCCGGTGTACGTAAAACAGCAATTAGAGCAACAGTTCAACAACAATCGGACCAGTGATTAGATCGGAAGTTGAACAACGTTCAAACAGTACCTTGATGAGCACTCAAGCAGAAACCAGTCAGTTCCCAGAACAACAACCAGCCAGTTTTCAGAACAACAACCAGTCAGTAGTTGGAAACAACCCTTCAGAGCGGTAATCTCAATAGCAGTAGTCAACTGGTAACCAAGCAGCGAGCGAACGACAACACAATGTTGACTTGGACTCTTACTAAAAATTAAAATATCATCTAAATATATAACAACGAATTTATCAAGCCATTCGCGAAGAAGTTCATTCATCGTCCGCTGAAAAGTTGTAGGTGCATTATAAGACCAAAGGGCAATACAATGAACTCATAGTGCCCATACCTCGTACGAAAGGCAGTCTTATATTGGTGTTCTGGTTCTAGCTCAATCTTATGGTAGCCAGACTTCAGGTCAATTTTCGTAAAGTACCTGCTACCTTGAAGTCGATCTAGCAAATCCTCGATCCTGGGTAATGGCTCAACATTTTTAATAGTTATATCATTTAATTTTCTATAATCAATACACATGCGGACCCCGCCATCTTTCTTTGGCACGAATAGCACTGGGGCATCATAGGGTGAGGGACTAGGCCTAATCCATCCCTTTTCCAGCATTTCATCGAGCTGGGTTCGCAGTTCATCCAATTTTTTGGGTGACATTCTGTAAATCGGGCCCTTGGGAATCTGACTTCCAGGAATAATTTCAATGCGATGTTTCATTGATCATTCCACCACACCGCTTAGGGCCTCTGCCACATCTGCGAATTTTTTCAGAATTTCTCAACTCCTAGGGACTTTGATTCTTCCTTATCTTCACCTTCCTTGACATGGCGCACATATGCCACAAATACTTGATCATATAGATTCTACTTCTTTACATGCCAGGCGAACGCGGGGGCACTCATGCAACAATTAGCTAAGTTGTTTTTTTTACCGGAATCATGAAATAGGCGATTTTCTTCTTTCCACCTTGCGGACTAGGGAGCCAACACTCGTGGTCCCTCAATTTACATCCGCATCCTCAACTTCTCCCCAATATGTACCTAAAAGAATGTCAAAAGGGAGACTGTCTTCCACCAAGAGAGTCAGAGAGAGAGTGGAGAACATGTTCCAACTTCCCCTCTGCCTCGAGCCGAAAGTATGTATGAATCCTTTCAACATATCTATCCAATACAATCTCACTACTGCTCGTTAATTTACTTACTACGGGCTCTTCCAACTGTTTTACCTTTATCCCGAGACGCAACTTTTGCAAACCTTTCTTACTAATATAGCTGCGTGTTGACCCACTGTCAATCATACCACCTACTCTTACTTTATTAACTTCTATTTTTGCAATAATTAGCTGCCCTTTCTGTTTTTTCATTTCGACCCAGGCTTTGCGATGAGTGGCCAACTCATCACCCATGCCTGCGAGGGATCCACCTAGAGAGGTACATACACTAACTACCTCTGTACAGCTGACTAGGTGGGGATTGTTTCTCTCTTCAGTTTCTGCCACTGTAATCTTCGAATGGGAGGATGTCAGTCTGCTTGCATCCGAAGTTCCTGTAGAGGCAATTGAAACCCCTACTGGTTGTTCCCTTTTGGTTGTTTTTAATCTGGGTAGAAGGGAACGATGTGGTTGGGGTCACCACATTTGAGGCATTGATCGACGACTTTCCTTTCTTGCCAATTTTTTTCGAGGTCTGCCTTCGGGCAGGCCTGGATGGGGTGGATACGAACGATCCCAGTTCCTGTTCCACGTGCCTCTTTCTCTTCCCCATGTGAAGTTGGGTCCTCGGCCACCTTGCGAGGGACCATTGCCCCTTCCTCCCACGTAGTAACTTCCTTTGCCACCACCCCTCTGGGTGCCGGGTCCTCTTCCTCCACGACCGTGGCCTCCTCTTCCTCTGCCACGACCTCTACCTTGTGGCCCTCCCCCGCGGGCTGCAACGACCGCGTAATTCACCTCTTGAACTACCGATCCGTTGTGTGCATCTCCCTCCAGACCATAGTCTATCTGATTGTAAGAGAGAGTTTCGACACCTCCTTCAAAGGTCAGAAGAAGGTTGTCTTCCCAGAATATTTCATGAGATGGTACGGTTTTGCCATTTCTTGCCGGCTTGCAGATCTTTCCAATAGTGGTAGTATGCCTCCGCCAAGAAACCGGCATGATCTAATGCGATCTTGCTAAACTTCTCATAAGTCATCCCCTCTTCTATGGTGCGGGGATATAGTTGAGTACGAAGAGGGTCCGGTAGTGCTCTAGCAAAGTTGTTAAGAATCTGCGTGTGGGTGAGTCCATGTTCAACACATTGCAAAAGTTCGTCCATGGTAGATTTAAGTGCGGATACACTTTTCCATTTCCTATCTGCAATATTCAAGATTAACATTTCAGTTCTCCTTGTAAGTTTTTATCCTCAAATCGTTCCCAGACTGCTTTAAAGAAATCTTTTAGAGTTTGTTGGGAATACTCTACCATAGATTGACAATTAGCTTATTTCTGTAGAGAGATTGCGAAACTCGTTGCATCTCCATCCATACACGAACTAGCCATGAGAACCCTGTCTCAATACGGAATACGCGGCCCGTAGACATAGGACTCAACCGCTGCAATCCAATGCAAAACACTTTCTTCCTTTTTGCTGGTGTATGTCCACGACACCTTTACTTTTATTTTTTTGACTTCCGCTGCATCTTCTTGCAGCACACCCTTCTTCTTCTTATCTCCGTCTCCACCACCATTTCCATCTCCTCCATCTCCTCCGCCGTTCCTTACCAATTTCTCAATCACAACGGGTGTTAAAGTTTTACTGATCTGCTCATCTAATTTTAGAATATATGCTTGTACCTGTTGGTTAACTTCTGCTGCAAATCTTTGCAGGAAGGTATTTCGGACTCCTTCAAATTCATACTGATGGGCTTCAACTTTCTGCAAGGTCTTGTTTATTGCTGCCAACTCTTGCTTTGTATGAAGAACAGTTCTTGTCAAGGGCAAGTTGTTCTTCGGTTGCTGTTTGCTTTTCTTTCTGCGCCTGTAATTCTCTTTGCAACCTTTCACCCTCTGCCTGCATTCTTTTCCTCTCTTTCCAGCTCTTGTCGCTTTCCGGCTAACATTTTGATGTGCAATTCAGTTCGTTTTTCCTCCACTTCTTTTTCCTTTTTATCGTTAATGGATGCCAATTTTGCGATCAACGTGTCCCGTTCTTCCTCCGTCTCTTCAATCCCTTCATTGGAATAATTGTACTGCTGTTGCATACTGTAAAGGTGCAGCCCAGAAAAAATATATTTGTCGGATCAATGTAAAACAATTATTTAGGATCTTTTCTGGGAGATGGTTCACTCAAAATATTCAATAAGAATGTAAGATTCTTTATTCGCCATAGCCAAATTCAAGAAGAATATTTTTTATGGAAGGCTAGTGCACTGCAAGAAATATCAATTTTGTTGTTTCTGAAGCAAGTTCCTGGGCTTATAGTTTAATTGGTTCAAACGCACCGCTCATAACGGTGATATTGTAGGTTCAAATCCTACTAAGCCTATCTGGATTCTGGGTGTATAGCTTAGGTGGTAGAGCATTGGGCTTTTAACCTAACTGTCGCAGGTTCAAATCCTGCTATACTCCTTTCAGGCAACTATCAATTGATCCAAGTTTGCTTTCTGCTATTGCACAACAAAAAACAACCACTGAACAAATCGATAGTCAACTGGCTAACTTTTGTCTTGTTTTTAGGGCGGTCGTAAGGTTACCTATAGTTATAAAAGTGTGCGACCGAACTTCACACTAGGGGCATATGGCTTACCTTGGAACCGACCTCTCTAACAAAGTACAAGATAGCGCAGCGGAAAACTTAGATACCAATGATCCGAACAATCAATATTGCAATGCAGCCCATAACATACATCATCATCATCATCATTCCATGGTGTGAAGGGGTCTCGCGCTCACACAGGAAGAATGCGCCAGCCCCAACCATACACAAACGAAGAAGAGGAGGGGTAAGACGAAGGAGAGGGGAAGATGGGAATGTCGTCAATATAAGTCTTCGGCACAGGCCCAGATAGTCCTTCGTCAAAATGTCTGAATCCCAATGTCGAGTCTGGATCCACCGTCGTAAAGTCCCAAGTCACAATTCTCTCTCTCTGTAGTGGTCTGCTGATACTGAGAACTCAGGTGGTGAGAGGGGAAGAAGAGATGGACTTAGAAGAAGAGGAAGAAGAACTCTCTCTCTCTCTCTCTCTCTCTCTCTCTCTCTCTCTCTCTCTCTCTCTCTCTCTCGCTCTGGTTCTAACCTGTGAAGTTGGCGCCTTGATGCAGGTACCTCGAAGATGGAGCTGGAGCTATGGCGCCACAGGTAAGTCCCACTGGCGTCCGCCAGCCATCTCTCCCAACTCTACTACTACCACCTACTAGTGCCCAGCGCTGAAGACTACTGCTATGGCTACTAGCGCCCAGCGCTGAAGACTACTGCTAGCGCTAAGCTACTCCAGCAACGCTCCTCCTGAGTGCCACGGCCGACATCCTGAAGACTACTCTGCCTTCTGTTCAACTACCTACCCGTGAAGTGCATGGGAATTCCTATGTACTTCTCGGCCTGCCTCCTGACCGCAGGGCGAGGCAGTCCAGGAGGCTGCTCTTGCCAATGCCGCAGGGAGTCAGGGGCTGCCGCTGCCGCTCCTGCTTGAGGCTGTCGTGGGAACAGGCTAAAGATAGCCTGTTCCCGAAACCCTGGTTTTGTGCCTGAGTGTTAGGATAGGTCGATCTTATGAGGGCCCGAAAGTGGCCCTTTGTTTCAGGCTGAAAAGCCTCAGGGCTGAAAAGCCCTGTTTTAGGCTGAAACAACATAGGGCCTGCAGACCCTCGTTTTTCACTCTTTCAGGTTGAAACGACAGGGGCCTGTAAGCCCTTATTTCTAGGCTTTTAGGCTGGGAATGCGGGACGGGCCCTGCAGGTCCGTGTGGCTACGCAGTATGCCACACCCCCCCCTCCTTGAAAGACTGGTGTATATGTTGCCAGCTTCGAGGCGTGAAAGATTGGATGGACCGTCAGATGCGCAGGGATGTTGATCACAAATGAAGGGCCATTGGGCTCATCGCCTGCGACTGATGTTACGGGCCATGGTCCAAACCACTTGGGAAGCAGTTTGCGTGAAACATCCTGTTCCAGTGCAAACGCTTCCGCGGAGACCCAAACCAGATCACCGACGCGAATGGGACATGGCACGCGACGCCTGGTGGCTTGCTGCTGCATGCGGATTTGAGCCTTTTGCATGTTCGCGCGGGCTTGAGCCAGCAAATCCCTGTACTTCCGAACGGAAGCGGGAGAGCAAGCGGCGTCGATGTCGGCTGGTCGTGGGAGGAGAAGGTCGGCGAAGATACGGCCTTTCTGTCCACCGTGGTGCAACTCGAATGGAGTCACGCCGATCGTCGGGTGAACCGAAGTGTTGTAGGCGAACTCGGATGTTGGAGAGGCGGTTAAACCAATCTTTTTGGTCTGGATGGACATTTGAGCGGTTTGATGTGCCTGCTCCGTTTGCCCGCCCGTCCGTGGATGTCGAGCCGAACTTGGTTTCATCTTCGTGCCGGACTCCTGCATGAGAGCAGTCCAAAATGTCGACATGAAGCGAGTGTCGCGGTCGCTGACTATGTCTTCCGGTACATCGTGGCCACAAATCCAACCGGTGTGCAAGAGGCGTGCCAGCTCGGGAGCCGTGGAGTAGTACTTGCAAGGGAGAAAACGCTCATACTTACTCAAACTCAAACGGTCCACAATTGTGAGGATGCCGTCGTGCCCGAGGCGATCGCGGGAAATGGTCCGGTGACATCCATGGCGATGGAGAGGGCGGGTTCCCGTGGGATAGGCATCGGGCGCAACTCGCCGTAGGGGTTGCGATTGCGGGGCTTGCTTCGTCGGCAAACTTCGCAAGAGTCGCAATATCGAGTGACATCGGTAATGAGGCCGGGCAATCGGAATCGTTGTCAAAGCCGTGCAATGGTGCGGTGGACTCCGAAATGGCCGGCGAGTCGCGGATCATGATACTCACTGAGAAGGCGAGTCCGAAGAGGACGGTCTCGTGGGACACATAGTAAGTCCTTGCCTCTCAAGTGGAGGAGCAAGTACCCGTTGGCAATGCGATAGTGGCTGCCCGGCGGGTGATCCGAAGATAGCTGCGCATACAACGTGGCGAAGTCCGGATAAGACTCATAGCCCTGGATGAAGTGTCGCTGAAGTTCCTCGTCGAATGCGAAGTCTGGATAAGACTCATAGCCCTGGATGAAGTGTCGCTGAAGTTCCTCGTCGAATGCGAAGGCATGATGTGTCATGGCGCAAAGATCGGGTCTTCGCGAGAGTGCATCTGCTGCGCGATTGGAGAGGGCGGGGAGATGTTTCGGTGTGAAGTCAAATTGGTCGATGAATTACATCCATCGTCCGGTCGTGCTGCTCATTGTATCCTGCGTCTTGTAGTAGGTCAATAGGTTGTTGTCCATGACCCATGTGAACCTACGCCTTTAGGAGGAAGTGCCGCCATCGCTTGAGAGCCATCACGAACGCGAGCAGCTCCTTCCTTGCATCATCAAGCGAATCGATGGGAGGTACTTTATGGCTAAAATACTGCACAGGGTGCCAGACGTCCCCGTCGTGTTGTTCCAAGACTGCCCAAATGCCGTATCCGGAAGCGTCAGTTGTCACTCTCGTAGGCAGGGTGGGGTCATAGATGCTAAGGACGGGTGCCATGAGCATGGCCGTCTTAAGTGCTTGGAATGGCCGGCGTGCGTCGTCATCGAATACGAATGGCACCTTTGGCGATTGTAATCTCGTCATAGGTGCAGCAATCCTTGAGTATCTGGTGATGAATCGCCGATAGTAGCCCGCCAACCCCAGGAATGAACGAACGTCCGTGGTGTTGGTAGGCTCGGGCCATACGCGGAGGGCCTCGCTCTTGTCCGCAAGCGGACGGATGCCTTGCGGCGTCACATAATGTCCCATGTACTCCAGCTCCAGCCGCGCGAATTCGCATTTGTCGCGGTTGGCTTTGTACTTGGCTTGTCGTAGGCGCTCCAAAACGGTGCGCAGGTGTTTCACATGCTCCTCCAAACTCCGGCTGTACACTAGGATGTCGTCGAGGTAGATAAGTACGAATCGATCCAGCATGTGTCGGAACTCCGTTGTCATAGCCGCTTGGAAAGTGGCCGGGGCATTCGTAAGGCCAAAAGGCATAACCAGCCATTCGAAATGCCCATATCGCGTCTTAAACGCGGTCTTGTAGCGGTCCTCCTGCCGGATCTCGAGTTGGTGATATCTTGACTTGAGGTCGAGCTTGGAGAAGAACTTGGCGCCGCCCAGCCGTTCGAGAAGGTCGTCGATGCGTGGAAGAGGGCGCGCGTTTCTGATCGTTTGCACGTTGAGCTTGCGATAATCGATGCACAACCGCAAATCCTTGGTTCTTCTTCCGGACGAAGAGAACAGGAGCACCGTATGGCGATGAGCTAGGCCGAATCCAGCCTATGTCCAGAAGGTCGTCGAGTTGTGCCCGTAACACACTTAATTCTTCCTCGCTCATTCGGTAGATGCAACCGCGCGGAGGTACAACCTCGTCCTCGAGGATGATCTCGTGGCGGATGGGCCGATCCGGAACTACTCCGTGCGGCCTTTCAAACACGTCGCCGTAGGCGTCGAGAAGCTCAGTGATGCGTGGGTCCGAAGATGAGTCCGTCGATGAAGCGTCATGGGGCGGCAGGGTGTGGAGAAAACACACCCCCATCTCCTCGATGTCATCTCTGATGATGGAAGCTCGCATGCTTGCGGCGGACACCACGTGGCAGCTGATCGAAGGGTGAGGAGAAGCCACCGTGCATGGGACTAGTACTCCGTTCGGATCACGAATGTGAACGGTGCGGCGGTAGAAGTTCACCGGGTGATCCTCGCTTCGCAGGCATGACATGCCCAAGATCATGTCGAATTTGGTGTCCAAAATATCGAAGGACACCGCCTCGCTTGCATGCGGGGCAAAATACACGGGGACGTCATCGATGCACCGGTCTATTGACTTGTGCGTGTGACCGTCTGCCAACGTGACTTGCGTAGGTTGGGACTTCCTCCGGACGTGTGGGCCAAGGCCGGCGCGTACCATAAAGTCCTGGCTCATGTAGTTGCGAGATGCTCCGCAATCGATCAAAGCGCTGCAGGTCGCTTCTCAGATCTGAATGCGTACATATAACAATGGTGCGTCGATGTCGTCGTACCGTTGTGTCTTGAACTCACGGTCGATCTTCGCAATGTAGGCGTGAAGGTCGACAACCTCTACTCCGGCGTCCATCAACGGAGTTGGTACTGCAGTGTGCAAGTAATCCCGCAATTGTGCCATGAGCACGTTGCAATGCGGTTTCGGCAATCGACCGGACCGAGGAAGGGGCATCCATTGGAAGTCCGCAAATTTCAACGGGTCGAGCTCTTCAAGTCTTGACCACGACGTTGAATCCCGGGCGGTAGATGGCGGCGAAGCTGTCGAATCGGTTGCCGATGGTGATGAAACCGTGCATGCGGTAAATTGTTGCGCGTGGAGCGGTTGGTCCAACGGTGGGACCAAGTGGACAACATAGTCCTCGTAAGTGTACCGAGGACTTGCGACATTCGCATCCTCCCCAGATGTGTAGAAGGCCGCTAGCAAGGCGGCCGAATCTGGCGGAGTGAGAGGTGGAGTCGCCTCACCTCCTGCGCAACTCAGTTTCCCGAGTTGATACGAGGCCGAACAACCTCCTTGCCTTGATCAGGGCATTGGGAGGTCTTGTGCTTGGTGCTGTTGCACCAATAACAGCAGCCGTAGCGGCCACACCACTTGTATTCCGCCTCGGTCAAGTGAAACTTGACCCATGGTGCTGGCTGTCCGTTTCCGGCCCGCGATGCGGTTTTCGCCTTCCCGTTTCCTCGGGACTTGTTGTTGCTTCGCGGCTGGACAGCAGCCACCTGATCTCCCTCACGTGACGCTTGGGTGGCTGCCGGGTCTTCCACAATGTTGTCTGATTGGACTGCAGCGACATGCTGCGGTCGCGGACCAGTTTTCACCTTCTCCACATAGGTTGGCTGCCATGCTGATTTCTCATGTGCAGCTGCACTGTTTGTCTTGATGATCTCCCTCGCCTCGTTGATGATTTCAGTGAAGGTGTTGTACTGCTCGCGATCACCAAGTGCGAGGCTCAAAGCGGCGCATGACCGGTTGTAGAACTCCTAGCGCAGATGCGAAAATGGTAAGTCCAGATCGGGCGTCGCCACGATCTTCTGCCAATCCGTGAGCCAATCACGTGTCGCTGTGTTTCCTTGAGCCATCGTGAAGATGCGGTTGATGGCCAGCGCTGGGGCGTCATCAACGATGAACCGCTTTTTCCATTCCTTTGTCAGATCCTCTCAGGAGACCTTCTTGTGGAGGTCGAAGACCTGGACGCCGTGGACGGTTGCCATATGGTTGAGCCAGATCTGGCATCTGCCCTTGGCGTTAACAGCGTGTCGATGAACAGATGTTCGGGGACCTCATGAATCCCCAACTCCGTTGTGAATCCTTGCCACCAGATGACCGGGTCTTGATGTGTGTAATCATCAAACTTCTCGATCCGGAAAGTCGGCATCTTGTAATGCTTCGCCGTGGTGGTGCCGCGATCGGGGTCAGACGGCTGTAGTCGCTGCCTGATCTCTGTCTTCTGTGTGTCCAGCTGCTGGCTGATGGTGGCTGGCGCTGCGAAGGTGCTAATATCACCTAGCATTGCCACTACGTGATCGATGCATTCCTCCAGTTGGCGGGCAGAGGGTGCAGTGCTGGACTCGCCAGCCTCCGGTCTTGGTGCAGTTTGCTCCAAGTCCTGTACACGGGAGTCAAGTGCCCGTGCTGCATTCTCTTGCTGAGCCTTGTGGTTCTGCATGGCCTGCTGCATATTCGCCAGCTCGGACTGCAGGTGGTTACAAGTGTAAACCAACCGAGTGCTGCTCTTCCGGTGTCGCGTCGTCGTGCTCTTCAGATGGTTCAAAGTGCCAGTACTTGAGCTTTTCGATGCTGGTGGCTTCATGCCACTGCAGCAGATCCTGGGCAGCAGATCCTGGGCTTCCTTGCGGCGTGCCTGGGTATCTGCATCTGCTTGGGCCTGAAGCCGCTGCTTCTCAGCTGTTGCCGCTGCTTCAGCCTGTAGGCGGGCAGCCTCGGCTGCCAGCTAGCGCTGTTCCTCAGCCTCGATCAGTGCGAGCTGAGTCTGGAACCGCTGTTTGTAGTCGGCAATAGACTCGTTGGCCAGTTGACCTGGCATGCGCAGAGCTGGGCCCGTCATGTTGCTGACGTGACACTGCTGACGTGGCACTGTTGCTGACATGGCACTGCTGATGTGGCACTGTTGCTGACATGGCACTGCTGATGTGGCACTGCTGACGTGGCACTGTTGCTGACATGGCACTGCTGACGTGGCACTGTTGCTGACGTGGCACTGCTGACGTGGCACTGCTGACGTGGCACTGCTGACGAGGCACTGCTGACGTGGCACTGTACCAACCCGAAAATGCATGCAAAGGGGTGGGTGGGAGGGAAAACACAGGTAGGGAACCAACCCAACAATACTTTCCTCCCGGCCCTAATCAACAGATAAAAATAAAAAAATAAAAGAGGACTACTTTTTTTTTTTTTTTTTTGTATATYTGTCGATCTGTTATGAGTGAGACATGTTAGAAGAGTACTATGAGCGAGATCTAGGCTAGGTTCCGCAAAGTTTCGGCTTTCACAAAATGCGATCTTGAAAACAAAATGTGCGAGATAGAATAGAGATGCGATTTTCAGAAAACAACTAAATCCAGTTTCTGAGAATATGGCAACCTCCGAATGTGCCTAATGAAATGTTGGTAGGCTTCGCAAGATTTCGGTTTTCAAAAAAAATTTGCGAGATAGAATGGAAATTCGATTTTCAGAAAAGAATAATTCCGGTTTCCGAGAATATGACCACTTCTATCGTTATCCTAATGTGCCTAGAAAACGAAATGTTAACCTCAGAAAGTTTCAGCTATGTATGCGAAATATCAGAGAAACGAAATGCTACTATCAGGAATTTTCAGATAAAACGAAATGCGATTATCAGAAATTTCAGATATTTGTTGCATGAAAACGAAATACTAATATCAGAAATTTCAGGTAAAACGAAATGCGATTATCAGAAATTTTCAGATAGTTGTTGTGAGAAAAGAAAAAAAAAATTGAGAGATTTGACGAAGTCGTACTTGATTTACTAATGAGTAATCAATAGATCAAGCAAGCTGGCTACTTGATTGAGCGGGTTCTCTGAATGAGAGGTCCGCTCGGATACCAAACTGTTGCATACTGTAAAGGTGCAGACCAGAACAAGAACCGACCTCTATAACAAAGTACAAGATAGCGCAGCGGAAAACTTAGATACCAATGATCCGAACAATCAATATTGCAATGCAGCCCAGAACATACATCATCATCGTCATTCCATGGTGTGAAGGGGTCTGGCGCTCACACAGGAAGAATGCGCCAGCCCCAACCATACACACGTGAAGAAGAGGAGGGGTTAGACGAAGGAGAGGGGAAGATGGGAATGTCGTCAACACCAAGTCTTCGGCACAGGCCCAAATAGTCCCTCGTCAAAATGTCTGAATCCCAATGTCGAGTCTGGATCCACTGTCGTCAAGTCTCAAGTCACAACTCTCTCTCTCTGTAGTAGTCCGCTGATACTGAGAAGTCAGGTGGTGAGAGGGGAAGAAGAGATGATGGACTTAAAGGAAGAGGAAGAAGAACTCTCTCTCTCTCTCTCTCTCTCTGTTCGGTACTAACCTGTGAAGTTGGCGCCTTGATGCAGGTACCTCGAAGATGGAGCTGGAGCTATGGCGCCACAGGTAAGTCCCACTGGCCTCCGCCAGCCATCTCTCCCTTGAGTCCAGGAGGCTGCTCTTGCCAATGCCGCAGGGAGTCAGGGGCTGCCGCTGCCGCTCCTGCTTGAGGCTGTCATGAGAACAGGCTAAAGATAGCCTGTTCCCGAAACCCTGGTTTTGTGCCTGAGTGTTAGGACAGGTCGATCTTATGAGGGCCCGAAAGTGGCCCTTCGTTTCAGGCTGAAAAGCCTCAGGGCGGAAAAGCCCTGTTTTAGGCTGAAACGACGTAGGGCCTGCAGGCCCTCGTTTTTCAGTCTTTCAGGCTGAAACGACAGGGGCCTGTAAGCCCTTATTTCTAGGCTTTTAGGCTGGGAATGCGGGACAGGCCCTGCAGGCCCGTGTGGCTATGCAGTATGCCACAACTGGTCATACCAGTTTAAGGGACTGACCTGTATATTCAACCCACCTGTATGACTGCTTTCGCCCCTTCCAGACCGACGTCTGATGAGTCTGTCTGCATCATCTGCAGGTTCGTCTTCTTCCTCTATAGTTTTGAATTCTTCCTGCGATTCTTTCTCCGTCGTTTCTTTCAACTCTTTTTTAATTCTTCCTCAACTCTTCTCCTTTCTGTTTCTTTTTCTGCTCCTTTTCTTTCTTTTTCTCGGCTAGGCGGCGGTCTACTTCTGCCTGCTCTGCCACTGAGAGTCCGGGCTTTGCTGTTCCGGACCTCATCATCATGCGGGAAGAACACACTCTCCCGAAGCCGAGAGGGAAAAAAAAACGGAATAGTGGCGCCAAAAGAACAGATAGAGCCACCATCCCGTACATGGGATAGCCATCCCTGGTGGGGTACAGCACAGGGGAGGCCTCCGCTGGACCACCAAGTAGCTATCCAAGAACCTAGTTTACCTGAGTTGTCGGGATCTGTAAATTTTCGTTTTTTTTAAGTCTGGATGTTGCTGCTTCAGAATAACGAAATTTAATAATGTAGAAGATATATAATGTTTTCCTAATCAATGTACAAAGTAGGAGCTCTTTTTTTTTTTTTTTTYTTCCCCTCTTCATTTGTTTGGTGCCTGTTTAGTTACTTAGCTGGTCTATGCCTTCAATGGTCTGTCTGGTCACTTTCGTGAGAGAAGGTAGCTGGGAGATACTCAAACTCACTTCAAAAACAAATCCATTTTTTCACGTTTTCCTTTGTTCTCAGCCTCTTACACTCTCTTCCCTGACTCAACCTTCCTTCCCTACCTATCGATAGACCAGATGGATAACACGAAGACCAGATGTTGACTCTCTAGTCCTATCTGTCAGATCAGACCAGGCCACAGGTTTCGTCCAGACAGCAGCAGCGACCACCAGAAAGGAGGGGGAAGATATACACAACACACAGATTTGCAATCAATCAAGGTAAGTGGGGCAGGAGGTTCTTCTCTTCTTTGCAGCCGTTGATGAAGACTCCACGTTCGCTCCAATCGCGGGTAAGTCTCCTCCTCCTTAGCCCCTTCTACTTCGGCAAACTTCCCCCTCTATCCCAATCCAACTCTACTTCGCCTCTCGTGTTCGTCTCTCGCCAGCTATACTCAAG